CGCCCCGCCCCGCGTTTCCCGCCTCCCAGCCTCTCTCCATTTCCGCCCCTCCTCTTCCGCTCGTATCTCTCAGCCCTGCCCCTCTCCTGTCCTCCCCGCCCCCTCTTCCGCTCTACGTTCCTCTTCACCCTTGCGCACTCTCTTCAAACGGCTGCTTCCGGCGGCCTAGGCTTACGTTTACCTTGCGCCGGAAAGAGAACCTGTGAAGGCTGTCGGAATTATGGCGGCGGTGGATATTCGAGGTATATTGTATTGCTATACTTTGTCTCTTGATTGTCTGTGGACTAGTTTGGGATGTTATAGCTCGCAGGCTCAAGGTTCAGGTTCCTTTGTGTTAGGTCTCAAGCTTTTCTTACTGTTTTTTGTGGACGACCTAAGACTGGTCGAGCTAAACACTGACGAGTTTTTCCAAGTTCTTGGAGCGTCTCTTGGAAGCGTGGGAGAGAAGGGGCTGGAAGCAACTCTGGGCTTTGAGTCTTCAGAGCTGGAGTATTCTACACGCATATCTCTGCAACAGCAGAGCTATTCTGTTGGGGTGAAGGAATGGCCTTTGGGCAGAGAAGGGAGTGGGGTAATGAGCCAACTTGATTTGATTCATGTCATGGGACTTGGCGCGGTGACTCCCTAATACGATCGCTCCCCACGAGTCCCTGGGCATGAATCCCAAATGTTTTCTGTTGTAAGGTTTATTTTTGAGTCGATAATACTTTACATCGAACATCCATCAATTATTACGGGCAGGGGTCGTATCTTTTTCACACCTGAGCTGTAGAGGTACTCAAATATTTAATCAATCAGTGAATAAATATATGGACATGCCACCCATTAATGATCTTGGGGAGCATGTAGAGTTGTTTTTGTTCGTATATACAGTACTTGATTTTTAAAGGGAAGTGTTTGAGATGCTGTGCCTTTTTCTTCTCTCTCTCTCTTTCTTTCTTTCTTTTTTTTTTGAGACGGAGTTTCGCTCTTGTTACCTAGGTTGGAGTGTGATGGCGCAATCTTGGCTCACCGCAACCTCCAATTCCTGGGTTCAAGCGATTCGCTTGCCTCTCAGCCTCCCGAGTAGCTGGGATTACAGGTGTGCGACACCATGCCGGGCTAATTTTATATCTTTAGTAGAGACGGGTTTCTCCATGTTGGTCAGGCTGGTCTCTAACTCCTGACCTCAGGTGATCTACCCGCCTCGGCCTCTCAAAGTGCTGGCTCACTCCACTGCCCCCGACCTGAGGCACCTTTTTCCATAGTAACTGGATTGGGGTCTAGCACATTTATTACAAACATTCTCATTTACAGTTATCCGGTGATCTTAAACACTTCTGGATCACGATTTTACATACCTTTCTTTCATTATAAGTGGAAGTTTCAAATGCCTAATTTCATCCTTGCCGATTGTTAGAATGCTCTTAAACTGCCTGGGCTATGTCAACATGTTGCCTTGCTACAAAATAAAAAAGAGAAACATTTAGTCTATCAGACTATTTTCAAATACTTAGTTTGTATAATTTTTACTTACAATTTAGATTTGTTGGGATCATGGTAAAGACTCTAAGAGTGTGTTTGGTGTGTTAAAGGACCAGCAAGGAGGCCAATGTGGCTGGAGGGAAGTGAGAGAAGATGTGGGAAGGAGATGAGGTCAGAAAGATGTTGAAAGCCATGATAAGGTCTTTGGCTTCTCCTCCAAATAAAATGGAGAGCCATTGGAGGGTTTCCATCAGAGGAATGATGTGATATGATTTTTTTTTAGGAATACATTGGCTGCTGGGAACAGTGTAAGAGAGCAAGGGTAGAATTAAGGAAACCAGTTAGGAGGCCACTTCGATAATGCATGGAGGTTTGGACATAGCTTGGATTAAAGTGATAACAACAGAGATGGTAGAAAGTGGTTAGAATCTGCCTGACTTGGTAGTGTATTCTTTTTATGGGGCTGGGTTCACAGATAATCTCCAAGTGCAACAGATAATTTCATTTTCATAGCCGTAGACCATAACTCTTACCTCAACTCTTACCATAACTCTTACCTCTTAACCATTTTCTAGAAAAATATTCTTGGATACTTGAGCTCATAAATGGATTGAGAAAAACCACTGACCAATGTAGTACTTGTACTTGGTCCTCAATCATGAATTAATCAACATTTGCTGGTTATTTTAAATCAGGTCCTATATTGGTTCCTGGTGAGTAAGACATAGCCCCAGTTCTCTAAAAACTCATAATTTAATGGGAAGTTGCTTGTGCTTCTAGGTTATGAAAATAAAAGTGTATAAAGATTGCTATGAGAACATAGAGAAAGAAGCCACCACCAACACCATCGTAATCCCAAGTAGTATTTATTGAGTTATTACAATGTGCTAAGCATTTTACATATGTAACCTTAGTATGTAGATACTATTATGATCCCATTTTATAGATGAGGAAACTAAGGCACAAGGAGATTAACTTGCCGAAGTTTTATTTCCTTGTGTCATTCTGCTATGTGGTAGATAATTGCGGGCAGTGAAGTGAGAATCTAGTGTAGCTAGATTGTGAAATGCCATATTAAGGAATTTGGATCTTAATCTTTTGGACAGTAAGTGTGCACCACCATTCTTGCAGTAAACTGTGACATAGTTTGATTATTTTGCAAGCATAGCATAATTAAGGCCAAATAGGATTGAGGGAAGACTTAGAGGCAGGGAGCCCAATGGGAAGCTGTTGTCTGAGTGACATTTGGAAGATTAAATAAATAACAGTGGCAATAAGGATGAAGAAGAGGAAATGTATTTTATGAGACTGCATCCTCTCTAGAACAATACTCATTGTTCTGTGGCCTTCAAATTTATAGTAGGACCTCTGGCTTTTCTCACAAGTTCTTAATATCTCTGTAGTGGGCGTTTTCATTCTGAGCCAGTGTAGTGTGTATGACTGTGATCTGTAGAGTTAGGATACCTGGATTCAAATCTCAGCTCCACCATTTAGTAGTTCTGTGACAAGTTACTTAGCCTTCCCATGCTTTAGATTCTTCTTGTGTAAAATAGTAATATACTACCAAACTCTTTGAGTTATTGTGTGGTAAAGTGATTAGAACAGGGCCAGGCACAAAGTCAGTGTTCAAAAATGAGAAATAGGATTATTTCCATTTGCATTGGTTTTGTATGTCATATATGTCTCATTTTTCCTCTTTGAATTAGTTTACTAGACGATTAAAATACATTAGAAATAAATGCTGATGAAGAGTTTTGTAAGTGTGGAAACAGCTTTGTAAAGAGAACTTACAGGGAGAATTTACTGAAGTCACATGGAGCAGATGACGTTTAAGATTCTAATTCTGAGAGTCTGATTCCATACTTAAACCCAATCTATCCAAGACACGTTCATTATCATCATATCCCTAAATGAATCTGTTAACTTCCTGTAATTGTTTGTAGGTAGGATCTATAATTACACATTTATTTGTTTTTGTGGATTATTCCACCTCTGCTGAAATTATGTTGTTAACACTATTATTAATAATTGATTATGACACCATATAGACATAGTGTCCTGTGAAAAACAAACCGAAACTGTCCTTCTAGAAATACTTTAATATAATCATGCTAAGGAAATAAATGTATAAGAAGTTTTAATGTAAATAAACCTATGTTAATAATTGCACTGTAGTATTTAAAGCTGAGAATGATGCTTGTCTTTAGTTGCTTTTCATTACAAAGACTCTTTCCAAAATCTTATTTCCTGGTCTGTTGTGTATTTGGTTATTGCATGATCCAGTTATTATGGACCATGTAAATGATCTGTACTAATTATTTGGTTATTAACATACTTTATCTGTCTCCTGCTGTATAGCACATAAAGTACATTTTACCTTTATATAATTTTTCTCAGTTGAGTCATTTTGCTCAAAACTGCTTGCCACCTTGAATTAGGTCTGACTTCTTTGAAGATGTCAGAGGTAATAAAAGGATAAGAGAGGCTGAAGGTTTTCAACCTGTATTGTATAGGTATTTTGATGGTCATGATTTACACCTAGTGGTGTTCAGTACAGTCAGTGGTATGAAGTATCATTGAAGCCATTAGCCAGTAAAAGCTCATTTATTAAAAATATCTAGCTCTATTTATCATGTCTTTTTAAAAGCTATGATTTAATTCTACTCTAAATATGAAACTGTGTCACCGTAGTTAAGGGCATTCTACTTCCTGTTTATCCTTTAGCTTTTACATCATTATCATCTCATCTACAATAATAGCTTCCTAACTTCTCTATCCCTAATTTAGAGATCTTAAACTAGTGACTATGGATGTGTTCTCTTGGGCATACATGTTGTTTGAAAATTTTGAATTCCTTGCCAGCATATAAGAATTTCCAATTAAATCATTTCTAAATTTTAAATCTTATCACTTCTTCACCTAATGAAATTATTCTCTAAAGCTATAATATACTTTATATTTTTACACTTCTGTATATACAGTCTCTGCTTGGAATTACTTTGCCCTTTACTCTATGTAAGTTTTTATTTATTATTTAACATATTATGCTAAAACCCACCTTCTCACCCCGTGAAAAATCATTTTCATTCCCTCAGGTAAATTATTCTGCTCATTCCTGTATAGTCTCATAACACATTTCTTCATATCTTTTTTTTTGAGACAGTCTCGCTCTGTCACCCAGGCAGGGGTGCAATGGCAAGATCTCGGCTCACTACACCTCTGCCTCCCGGGGCCAAGCGATTCTCCTGCTTCAGCCTCCCAAGTAGCTGGGATTACAGGCATCTGCCACCATGCCCAGCTAATTTTTTGTATTTTTAGTAGAGATGGGGTTTCACCGTGTCTTTGTTATAACGCTTACATCATGTTATTGCTTTCTTGAATAATCTCTTCTGTTACATCATGAGAGTGTGTTGGTTAGGACCCATGTCATCCTTATATTCATAGTGCCTGCTACATTAGATGTATGATAAATGTTTGTTGGATTGAATTCTTTCTTTTTTTCTAATCCTTTATCATTTTGTTTTCTTTCCTGTAGACAATCTCCTGGGAATTTCTTGGGTTGACAGCTCTTGGATCCCTATTTTGAACAGTGGTAGTGTCTTGGATTACTTTTCAGAAAGAAGTAATCCTTTTTATGACAGAACATGTAATAATGAAGTGGTCAAAATGCAGAGGCTGACATTAGAACACTTGAAGTAAGTTATTTTAAGAAGGTAGCATTTTTACCAAATACAAGTTTTGCAATGAACAGTTCTTTCAAGCTGTGGGTTTTGAAGTGCAGGGTAGAACTTTTGGAGTTTTATTTGGGTTTGTACAAATTTGACATGCAAGGTAATTATTAGTATTCAGTTTTAACGGAGGTCTTTTCTGTATAACTTCACAATGTTTACTTTAAATGTAACAAGTTTTGATTTTGACCTGATGAGTGATTTTGGCAATGTTACTGTTATTATCAACCAGGGAACTGTAATTATTGTCTCTTCTATATCTATTTTATATTATTAAAGTATATGAAACAACTGTTGATACAATTTTCCTGTTGTCAGCTAAATATTGAGGAGGGGCTTATAAAATTAAATTTATGTCGTATTTTAAACGGCTTTTGTTGTGGGGCAAATACAGCTATTGGGACAACATATTGTTGCTTTTAAACATAATCTGTCAGGTAAAAAAATTTGTTGGGGTGAGGAAAAAGTTTTTGATGTTTTCTAGTTTGGTAGTATATATAGTTGAGTATTCATGGTTATTTTTATATTTTATATGTATTTATAGATTTAATCAGGAAGCATCATGGCATTTTGGTTGCCTTTTTGAAACGGACACTCTTCGGTGTACTTTCCTGACTGAAAATAATCAGATTTAAATTTATAACACATTTCTGTAGAGAAATTTTGTTGTTTAAAAAATAAATCTTCCTTTATCTATATGCCACCTGTCTGGGAAAATAGCCAGTTTTACTCAATAGCCAGATTATAACACCAAACATAGGCAGTTTTAATCCTATTTAGTGTTGCCAAATTTTTATATAATAATTTGAATGTTATTTGAAATTATTGTAGGGCATTTATAGATCTTTGGATATCTGTGTTGTGTTTTCAGTCAGATGGTTGGAATCGAATATATCCTTTTACATGCTCAAGAGCCCATTCTTTTCATCATTCGAAAGCAACAGCGGCAGTCACCTGCTCAAGGTAAAATGTGTAAACTTAAGGCATTGTTTTCTATTTAAAATATCATGATGTATTTCCTTCTTGACCTAACTTGTTTTTTTGACTGGTTTCTTTTTGGAGGGTCCCCAAGACCACATACATGTTCAGTACCATGCTGGAGGACTCACCAGACTTAGCATATGCTTATACTTACAGCTAAGATTTGTTACGGCAACACAGTAAGGGTACGCAGCCAGATTAGTACTGGAAAAAGACATGTCAGTAGGGTCTGTAGGAATCCATGTACAAATTTCCTACGCTTTCCCTTTTGCTTGTGAAGGGCCATACCTGAGTGTGCCCTCCATACAGCAATGAAATGCAGCTGCACTCAATATGTCTGCTCAGGGAAGTCCATTTGAGACTTTGAGCCAGAGATTTTTAATGAAGGCTGGTAGCTTGGACATCCTCTGCCTACCAAATTTTTAGATTGTCTAAAAGAAATCTGGTGTCCACTATAATCACATTGTACAAGTCATCTGCAGAGGCTGGTACAACATGTATAACTATCATGTAGGAAATGTTTGAAAAGCCAGTTCTACTAGTTTATAGTTGGATACCAGGACTCTTTAAACATGCCCAAGGACAACTCTTCAAGTACTAACAGTCAGAACAACTCACTGCATCAAAGCTACCTCACAGTTGGGATACCAACTGAACATCAAGCATCCCAAGTAACTTTTCTTTTCCTTGACCTCTGGACTTTTTATTGGCCTCCTGCTTCTCAAAGAGTACACTGCTTCTGATGGCTTAATGTCTCAGAACTTTGGTGGTGTTGGTCTCCGATACCACTCTGCTGTCCGCTACCTGATGGGTGCTGGTTTTTTGGATGGTTTGCATGGAATTGCTCCTGTCCAGGGCATCACCAAGATTGAATTCCTTGCTGTCTTGCAGCAGGCAGCAATAGGTGGCGATCTCAGCCTCCAGCTTGACCTTGATGTTCAGCAGGGCCTCATATTCCTGGGCCTGGCACTGCCCCTCTGCCTGGGTCTGTGCCAGGCCCAACTCCACGTGCAGCAGGATGCTGTTGAGCTGCTCCATCTGCATGGCATAGTGGGCCTCCACCTCCCTCAGGCTGTTCTCCAAGCTGGACTTCAGATTTCTCATTGAGTCCAGGTCGATCTCCAAGGACTGGACTATATGTCTGAGCTTCGTGAGCATCACCTCAGCAGCTCCAACCTTGGCAGACTGTGTGGTAACCACTATGGTGCTCTCCTCAATATGCTGAGAACAGTTCTTTTATAGTTCCTCTTGGTTCTTCAGAGTCTTTGTATTGGGCCTAGATGTCTGCCATGATCTTGGCAAGGTCTTGAGATTTGGGGACATTTGCCTCCACGATCAGCCTAGAGCTGGCAATCTGGGTTTGTAGGCCTTTTACTTCCTGTTCATAGTTCTTCCTCATGAAGAGGAGCTCCTCCTTGATACCTCAATCTCTGTCTCTAGCTGCAGCCAAGTGACATTGGTGTCATCAGTGAACTTGTGGAGCCCATGGATGTCGCTCTCCACAGACTGGCGCATGGCCAGCTCTGTCACATACTTGACTTCAAAGTCATCAGCAGCAAGACGTGCGTTGTCGATTTGTAGAACGATGCGGGCACTGTCCACAGTATTTAAGATCTGAGCCCTCAGGTCCTTGATGGTCTTGAAGTAATGGCCCCAGTCTGTGACCTGGGGTCCCTTCTAGATTTTGCTCTCCAGCCCCTGGTTCTCAGTCTCTAGTCTCCTCACTCTGTCCAAGTAGGAGGCCAGGCTTTGAACCAGTTAGTTTCAGGCTTGCATGATCTCCTTCTCATTCCGGATGCCTCCATTCCTGCCAGACTCTGGCCATCCCCATGGCCAGGCCCCTGCACCCCAAGTTGCCCTGGAAACTGGTGGAGCGGGACATGGAGATCCAGGAACCAGAGCCACCGGTGCCTGCACATACGCTGGTTGTGCCGCTGACCAGCCAGGCACGTCAGCGGGGTTCCTGGATGGACCTCAGGGACCAGTTGTTGGTGGAGAGTGTGGAGCAAGTGGCGAAGCTCATGCTGTCCAGGGAGGAGAGCAAGAGGACAGGACTCAGGCTTTGTTGACAACCACAATTAACTTTTCATCTCAGTCTACTGAGTTAATTCTGTTACAAAATGCGTGGTAGATGCAATCATTACCAAATTAATGGAGGACCAATTGAAAATTCTCATTGATGGATCCAACTAAAAGCCTTACCTGGGTTATACTACCTACGGAAAACTTGATTTAGAAGCAACACTGAAGGGTATAGAGTCCAGATCTGGTTTTGAATTAAAGAGCTAGACACCTTTTCCAGCGACAACCAGAAATCAAAGATGTTTAGAATCAAGCCAAGACCATGAATAGAGTCATACTGAAGAGAAGATTTAAGATAGGGGAGCCAGATGGGTGTTATTACAGCTACATCTCTCAATTATACCCTCATTAAGACATTTATGAAGAACCTTTAACTTGGCATTGATTTCAGAGAATGACTTGGTAAAGAAGTTGTGATTCCAGAATCCAAATTTAGTTTCAAAATCAAGGATCTAGAGTACCTGCCCAGAGTAAAAGAGAACGTTAGAACTAAGGCAACGCTAGGGACAAGACAAGATTTCCATGGTGAGAGGATTCAAGGTAAAGAAATTATACAAGACGGCACTAGCCTCACTAGCAGCTGTCTTATTCATTAGGACCCAGCACAGGGGCACAAAAGCAAGCTCATTGCGTTTGATACCTTTACATTGGACCCAAAGTCTCTCTTGCTCAGTGTCTTACTCCTTTAAGTAAGGTTGACTGACACAGTACTGGCATCATTTGGGAACTTGTTAGAAATGCACTCTGCCTACTGAATAAGAATCTAATTTTAACAGCATCCCCAGGTAATACAGATGCACGTTAAAGTTTGAGAAGCACTGCTGGAGGGCAACAGTGGGCATATTTTTTCTGAAGAGGGCCAGTGACTAAATACTTGGGGTTTGTGGGCCTTGTAGTCTCTGTGACAACTGCTCAATTATTGCCAGAGCGGCCATAGATAGGTAAATGATTGGATGTGGCTGTTTTCTAGTACAGCTTTACCAAAGCAGTAATTGCTAAACCCCACCTTATGGGAAAATATCAGATTTTAGTTTTTTTATGAGAGTCTGTTTAGCAATTTGTGTCCATAGCTGTATTCATAAACCTTTTTTCCTACTGTTTTAGTTATCCCACTAGCTGATTACTATATCATTGCTGGAGTGATCTATCAGGCACCAGACTTGGGATCAGTTATAAACTCTAGAGTGGTAAGTGGTCTTCACATTCTTTAAGCACTAAAGAAAACTTTTAATTAGCTACCTTGCTTCCAATAATCAAATGAGCTCCTCTGCCTTGTGTAAGTTGCTATAAAGTGTTGACTATTAGAATGTTTTGAACTGTGGTTACTTTGAGTCAAGTCAGTGCTCAAAGTATATTTCATAGTTACAATTATATAGTAATTTAGGTTCTGAAAAATAGGTTCTGTCTTTGCATATGTGACATTTTGTGAGTATTTACTTTGGAAATTTTGGTTGACCTAATGAGAAATTTAGAATTTGTTTTTCCTTTTACAAGCTTACTGCAGTGCATGGTATTCAGTCAGCTTTTGATGAAGCTATGTCATACTGTCGATATCATCCTTCCAAAGGGTATTGGTGGCACTTCAAAGATCATGAAGAGCAAGGTAAGTAGAATACCCAGACCCTCCTAAAACACTTTTGATCCTCTGAGAATGAAGCTGTTTTCTTTAGGAAAATGGCTGTTGATCTTTTCTAGGTGTGTATCACTTTTTTGTGGGATGGTGACTTTGTTGCAGCTGAGATTCATGTAAGTAGATATGGTAATCATAGCTTTCACATAGGAACAGATACAAGTTTAGTCTGTTAGGTAACTGGTAGTCTTTGTTAAGGTGATTCAAGGTTTTAAAATATTTGGGGCCAGGCATGGTGGCTCACTCTTTTAATCCCAGCACTTAGTAATGCCAAGGCAGGCAGATCACCTGAGCCCAGGAGTTCAAGATCATCCTAGGCAACATGGTGAAACCTGATCTCTTAAAAATAAAAATAGAGACATAGGAGAGACAGTGATTTGGAATGAGCAAAGATGATATTCCCTAATTCCCTGACTGTTGAGTTATCTTGGAATCTGGAACTTGTTATTCTTCCAGTCTTCAAAGCGGAGGAGTCGAGAGAGATTGCCTTTTAGAGCCCTATCTCCAGATGGCCAGTCTGTTTTCTGATCCTTCCATCTCATCACCTCTTGTGGCTCCAGGTCCTCTAAGTTTCCATCTAATCTGCTACTGTGTTCATCATATTTTACTGTTCAGCTACCTCAAGAAATGTGCCTATAACAGCATACTTGTATTTTGCATTTCCTTTTCTGAGAAATAGCAACTCAGAGTAAATTACTGAGGAAACATGGCCTTTCTATAGAATTCAGACCTGTATCATCTTCTTAATAGTAGGTATAAGCAGGAACATTTGATAAAAGAAATGTTGACTAAAATTGGCCCAATTGCTATTTTCTCTTACCATAACCAAATGTTTGGAATAACACTTATCTGGAACACTTTGCTTAGAGACAGTTTCCCAATACACCTCCCTCCCAAGGGCAAATCCCACATGTGATTAACTTCAGAATTTCTCTTTCAGGTTCTTTTCTTTTTTTTGTCTACATGATTTTCTGTTTTGTTATATTATTTTTTTTTTTTTGGTGAATTACAGTCTTAATAATTGAATATGGCAGATTGAGTTTTTGAAGCCTGTATTTTTTAATTTGTTCTTAATAGGTTTTGTGGGAAAAGACCATTTAATACACTTAAAATATACAAAGGTAAGGCTGGGCGTGGTGGCTCACGCCTGTAATCCCAGCGCTTTGGGAGGCTGAGGTGGGCAGATCATGAGGTCAGGAGTTCGAGACCAGCCTCGCCAACATGGTGAAACCCCGTTTGTATTTTGTAAAAATATAATATATTAGCTGGGTGTGGTGGCAGGCATCTGTAATCCAGCTTCTTGGGAGGCTAAGGCAGGAGAATTACTTGAGCCCGGGAGGCGGATGTTGCAGTGAGCCAAGACTCCACCACAGCACTGCAGCCTGGGCAATGAGACTCCATCTCAAAAAAAAAAAAAATGCAAAGATAATTTCAGACCAATAATTTGGATTGTGATCTTGGTAATTCTGAAAAACTTGAGCTTTAAGACTCTTAAGTTTGTGTATGCTTATGTACCAAAACTGAAGTAGCTTTAAAAGATGTGTATCACCGTAAATGGTAGAATTTAACTTCAGTTAAGAGGAAGAGTTACAACACTTCTGTATATATGCTGTGTTTACCTGATTTGGGGAATTATCTTTGGTATAGCAGGTAATGAAGTTTATGTGTGTTTATGGTGGATAAAGATTTGTAAAATATGAGGTGAAGTTTGTGTATGTTCATGGTGGATAAAGATTTGTAAAATATGAGACACCAAACTAAGTAGGCAATGTTTTGATTCAGACTTCATATTTTAATAGATAAAGTCAGACCTAAAGCCAAAAGGAAAGAAGAACCAAGCTCTATTTTTCAGAGACAACGTGTGGATGCTTTACTTGTAGACCTCAGACAAAAATTTCCACCCAGATTTGTGCAGGTAATGAAAATAAAATATGTGTGGTTAATCTTTACCTCTTTTGTGTGGCATACATATTTATTTTTAATTGAGAACTGTTTCAGATGTGACCTAAAATTATTGATTTTCCTCATTAGTTAAAAAATCTCCGTATCAGAGGAAAGGTTTTGAAAGACTTAATAGAAGAAATGGGCAAATGGAACGGATTTAACACTGTTTTGTTTTTCTTACTGAATCTTCACAAACTTTGAGGACTACATATCGATAATATTCTCATTAAAAAGGTTGCTGAAGGTGTCACAGGTGGTAACAAAACTAGAATATGGAACTCATGCTCTTTTTACTCTATGTGCCGCCTTCCAGCCTAGGGTAATAGATATCTGAACAACCTAAATGATAGAATAACAAAAAGAACAGAATATCTGAGGTAGAGTGTTTGGCAATATACATAGAGGAGGCAGGAGTGATTAATAGTGATTAATAACACAACACTGGGGCTTTAAGTTATACGAATTCCACTGTGTGATTTGGAGGGGCAGGGAGATTCTAACAACAATAGCAAATCCACCTGCCATTCTACTAAATGAGCTTTTGGAGCGAAATAGGTATGTAATGTAATTGATGAATATGCTGTTCTCATGGCTTGTCTCAGTTCTTAAGGACCGTTACAGGGTGTACACACAAAATTATATGCCCTGTTTTTGTTAGGAACTCTTTAAGGGATTTTCCAAGGGAAATTTTAAACTAAATGAAATTTTTCATGAGTTGACTTTAGAACAGGCCTCCCCTTCTCTCTTCCCTGACTCTGCTGTAGTGAAAGATGGGTGCTATGGGAATTGTGATGTGGTGGCGAAGAGAGCAGAAGACACAAGATGGAACTCAGAACAGGAAAGCTAGTTTAGAGGAATCTCATGAATGGCACTTGAAGATGGAACATTGTTGAATAAATAAATAAATGAATTATAGCTGTGTGTAGGATGATGAGTGATATCTACAAAATGTAAGAAGTTAGGTGTAGTTGAGCATTCATTTGGTGAGTACATAATGTATACTAGGTAGGCCAGGGGGAGACAGCTAGACATGTGCTGTCCAGTATGGTAGCCACGAGGCACATGTGACTATTAGCATTTGAAACACAGCTAGTCCAGAGATTGAGTTGTGATGTAAGTGCAGTATGCATACTGGATTTCAGACTTGTATGAAAAAGAGTGTATGTAAAATATCTCAGTAGTTTAAAAATATTGATTTTATGTTGAAATAATATTTTAGATATATTTGGCTAAATAAATGTTTGTTTTTAAAAATGTGATGAGAAAATTAAAAAATACACATATGGCTTGCATTTGTGGCTCACATTTCTTTTGAACAGTCCTGATCTAGAAAATGGTAATAGAACATGCAAAACCAGAAACATGAGTTGAGTTAGTGAACATGTGTTCAGAAACCAGAAAAATCTTCTGAGGGTTTACTCTTTGTGTTTGTGAGGGGAAGAGTAATGGAAGATGAGACTTAAAAGGTGGATTAAGGTCAGTTGAGAAGGATTTTGTATGCCATGCAAAGGAGTAGGGATTTAATCCTGTAGGCCTGTGTTTCTTCTCTATTTTAAACTTATAACCCATTACCTCTCCTATAAACGTAACAGGGCTCTGGATACATTCAGAGTTATTTGAAGATTTAAAACAATAGCTATTATAACCAAAGACCGGCCAAACCAGGGGAAATTTTGTATACTCTTTTTCAAGTATATGCTCTCTAGGAGTGTATTCCCGCTGAAATCTCTGCTGCCTCATCTTCAAGTGACTAGCTGAGAATTATTGCTGATGGCAATAAGGACCCATTGGATGTTTTAAAGTAGTTGGCAAGGGAGTAATGTAGTCAGTTTTGTGTTTTAGAAGATAACTAGTGACAGTATGGTGGGGGATGCTTAGGAAATCACATGTAAAGTTTGGATTCAGGGCACTTAGATTGTGGAAAGCTTGAATTAATTCTGTGGCCATAGGATAGAGAGGAGACAGATGTAGGAGGTAATTTCAGAGTTAGGATTGCTTTAATTTGGTGGTTAGATTTTGAGAAATTGGACAAAGGGTGATTCTGGGGTTTCATGCCTAGAATTACATTGGTATTGTTAACTAAAATTCAGAATACAGGGAAAAACACAGATTTTGGTTTAAATACAGTTGTTAGGTGTTTGGTTTTCATTGACCAACCTACAGAACACTGAGTAGTTTCCCATTATATTTGAGTTCTGAAGTACTCTAGTGAAAGACAGTTTTTTTTTTCCCTGGCTAGGGATGCTGCCTTGAATCTTATTTGCTGTTCTATCCTGGTGAGCTAGTCTAGACATTGTAGAGAAAGCTCAAAGACTCTCTTGATTCTTAAAATAAAAACCCTTGGCTGGGCATGGTGGCTCATGCCTGTAATCCCAGCACCTTGGGAGGCTGAGGCAGGCTGATCATGAGGTTAAGAGATCAAGACCATCCTGACCAACATGGTGAAACCCCGTCCCTACTAAACATACAAAAATTAGTCAGGCATGGTGGCATGCGTCTGTAGTTCCAGCTACTCAGGAGGCTGAGGCAGGAGAATCGCTTGAACTCGGAATGCAGAGGTTACAGTGAGCTGAGACTGCGCCACTGCACTCCAGCCTGGGTGACAGAGTGAGACTCCATCTCAGAAAAAAATAAAATAAAAAAACAAAAACCTCTTTAGAAAAGCACAGTAATTTTAAAAACATGAAAGCAGAGAGAATAATTAAAAGTGAAACCCCGTATACCTTTTAGCCTGCCTCAACAGTTATCAAAAATGGCCAAGCTTGTTTTATCTCTTCTTCCCCTGCTTTCTCCCAGTTATTTTTAAGCAGACTGTATACTTCATATCATTTCAGTGGGTTTTTTACCTTTTTCTTTTAAAGGTTTAGCCACATTCATACTTACATCATCGTATTCCTGAACTCCACATTTCTTTGACCATCCAAGGGCCAAAAAACAACTGCCAAAGATAATGTTCAGCTCTGTGTAACATAACTAGGAGAAAGATGGCTTTCTCTACAACTATTAATAATCTTTTTTGCTTTTCTTACCAAAATTTTTTCTAGCCTCAGATCTAGAGAAAAAAAAAATCTCCTTGAAGCCTCCCAGAACTTCTTTTAGCTCATATGAACTCTTCTTTTCTTTACCCATTGTGTCCTCCAGAACTATTTGTACTTCGGATAAGGATACAGAAGGTATTCCTACTTACCAATTTTATTGCGCATTGGGCCTGTGGTACCCAGGAATGTTGCCCCTATAAGGGGACTTTCAGGAGAATAGAGAAGTTCTGCCTGCTTCTTTGAAGCCCCGTTTTTCATATTTTAATTGTTGTTACTGCTGGAAGTTGCACTAACACCGATGTGATGAGAGTATTGGTCCTCAGAGCCTTTTATGGGGACTGTCTTTTTTAGTGCTGTTTTTAGAAGCTACTAGAATACCATAGGATATTACTTCAACTAGGATTATTTAAACCGAAGCCACCTGATTAAATTTGCTCCAAGAGGCACCCTTGCTGTATATCCCCATCTCAAACCCTGTTCTACTCATCTGGCAGACCTGTCTAATCTAGAAAAGATTAGACAGTGTATTATGTTGGGTAAATAATGACATTATTCCAATGTCCAGATATAGTTCAATGTCCAGTATAGCTTAAATGATTCAGTGCCGGCAGTAGAAAAATTCCCCCCTTCAATTTTTTTACTCTCCTCAATGTTCCTCCCTATATTTCCTTTCCTATTTTAAAGAAAAATGATTTGTTTCCTCAGAATTACTTTGGACATGTTTAAATACTGATATTTGCACAAGATAATGTGATATATGGCTTTGTTGGGGGTTCTCATGATGACTCCCATATTTGCAGATTGCTAGCAGGACTCAAAGGACTCAGCATGTAGTTGTACTCAGAGCTAAGATTTATTGCCGTAATGTGGTAAACATATATAGCCAGATCATAAGGGAAAAAGACAGCAGAGTCTGGAATAATCCATGTACAGGCTTCCTTATATTTCCTTCTTCCCTTAAGAGATTACACAGAGTGCACTCTTCTCAACAGTGAAAATGCAGCAATGTATGTGTGATATGTCTGCCCAGGGAAGTCCATTAGATACCCGGTACCCAAGGCGTTTTTATGGAATTGGGGGTGAGGCTCTTCATGTAGGTACCCTCTACCTAGCACATACCAAAATTTCACAGCCTCTGAAGAAAGCAGGTATTTAACCCAAATCACATTTTTTGTAGAGTCTAGGCACAGAGAGTCACTGTTATCAGGGAATGGTGGGAAACCTCCAAAAATCCAAAGTTTCTAGACACTAGCCAAGGGCCAGCTTTGCGAGCAGGCTTTTCTAAGTATAGCAGCCTCAAGCCTTCTATGGCAACCCTTTTATTGCACAGTGGGTAATAATATGAAGCTCAGTTTTGGTCTTGTTAAGCGCAAAGTTTCCCAGGACTTGCAGTTGGAGTAGGATAGTTGGCAGTTGTCAGCAAGAACCTGGAATGTGTAATATCAGAAAATTTTGTAGTTATTAGGAATGGCAATAGGTAAGAAGGCTTAGGAAGGGCATGTAAATCCAGAAAGATTCAGCAAACAGATGGAGACATTAGAAGTGAAATGAGATAACTTTTTTCTTCTTAGATGATATGGAAGTAATAAGGTGTTTTAAGTGTGTGTGTGTGTGTGTGTGTGTGTGTGTGTGTGTGTGTATAAAATTATAATAAGTTTAAAGATAGGTGGTAAGGAAGTTGGTGGTGTTGGCATCCTGGTTTTTTTTTTGTTGTTGTTTTTAAACATGGGAGACAGTGTCATCGGATGAGAATGAGGGGGTAGGTTGTGAACCTTGAAGAAGACGACTAGATTGTTTTAGAGCATTTAACTTGGAGAATGGGGCAAAGGAGATGACAGCTTAATCAAGTGAAAGAATTGCTGTACAGAGTGAAGGATCTGACCTTGTTTCTGACCTCTGATGCTCTTTTTTTTCTATAGATTGGTTTTTAATAATACACTCATCAGAAATCTCTTTTCCCTCCAAATTTCCCTTGCCTGCCAACTTTAAAAGTCCTGGTTCATCCATACTTCATTCTCTCTTTGCATAATTCATATCCCCAAAGAAAATAAGACTTTAGAGTATTGAAAGACTTCATTATTTTTTCCCATTGGATTCTACTGAATTGCTTTTTATAAAGCATTGTAGCCTGGGTCCACACATGGCTACAATGTTAAATGTTCAAATGTTTTTATGGTTGGTTGACTATCTTGTTCTAGTTTTTGATTTATGTCTTTTCTGGAATGGGAAATAAGAAGTAGAAAATGATAAATTTATAGTATCTAAATAGAAATTTTTCTTCACAAAGTCATTTGAAATATAATTTGGATGAAGTTTTCATTGTATTAATATGAAATCAAGAAGAAGAAACTTTGCCAATCTGACCTGTTTTCTTCTTTTTCCTCTTTCCCTCCCTGTTTTCTAAAAAATCATAGCAAAAGTCTGGAGAAAAGCCTGTTCCAGGTATGGTTCATCTAATATTCTTATTAAGCTTGAAATAAGATCGAACAGCCTGTAAATCAGTAACAACTGCAGCATGTGAAATGAGCTATGGTCATTTTGTCCTTCTAGAGCAGGGATGTCCAATCTTTTGGCTTCCCAGGGCCTCACTGGAAGGAGAATTATCTTGGGCCACACATAAAATAACACTAATGATAGCTGATGATCTAAAACAAGCAAAAGTAATAATATTTTAAGAAAGTTTACAGATTTCAGTTGGGCCACATTCAAAGCCATCCTGGGCCACAGGTGGGACAATCTTGTTCTAGAGTTTCTCATTGTAATTTTTTACTCCTAACCTTTGAGATCTGCTCAGCTGTCAGCAGGTGGTGCCACTGTGGTAGCGTTTGTGGTAGTGAAAAGATGAATGGGGAGGGAAAGAGTAGGTATTGAGGTGTGAGGAAGCCAATGCGATTCAAGGTTTTTTCCATCAAATCTATGTGTATTTTTACACAGTGGTGTTTTCTGTTACATTATTGAAAATAGGCATTGAAACATCATGGTACTGGGTTAGAATAATTATATATCTTGTTTTTAACGTACTGTCTTAAATGCTGTATAATTTTGTCTAGTATTACTAATTTCCTTGAGTTATCAGGTTGTTAGGTTTGTAACTAGGTTCTTATATACATCTGCTTGGGGAAACAGCTAGATCTAGAATTTGAGATAAGCAATTAAAAGTGAATTTGAAAATGTGAATCATTCATATTAACCATTGTTTGGATTTTTCTCATCCCTCCATCTATATCCCCCTTCCAAAAAAATCTACTTTTGATATCTAGTGGATCAGACAAAGAAAGAGGCAGAACCTGTACCAGAAACTGTAAAATCTGAGGAGAAGGAGACCACAAAGAATGTACAACAGACAGTGAGTGCTAAAGCCCCCCCGGAAAAACGGATGAGACTTCAGTGAGTATTAGACAAAAGAGAAGCGTGCAAGACTCCTCATGCCAGTTATCATACCTCAGTACTGTGGCTCTTGAGCTTTAAGGTACTTTATTGTAATCATCTTATTTGTGTGGAATGCACTTATTCTTTAAGAAAGGATATTAGGCCACGTGCGGTAGTTCATGCCTGTAATCCCAGCACTTTGGGAGGCCGAGGTTGGTGGATCATCTGAGGTCAGGAGTTCGAGACCAGCCTAACCAATGTAGCGAAACCCTGTCTCTACTAAGAATACAAAAAGTAGCTGGGCATGGTGGTGGGTGCCCGTGGTCCTAGCTACTCAGGAGGCTGAGACAAGAGCATTGCTTGAACTTGGGAGGCAGAAGTTGCAGTGAGCCGATAATCACATCATTGCACTCCAGCCTGGGTGACAGAGCGAGACTTCATCTCAAAGAGAAAGGATATTATTCCGATCATGATTTCTAGTGAATATTTGTTATACATCTTCTGTAACCTTTCCTCTCCTGGGCTTGTGCGGCCTACCCACTCACATGTTTACTGGTAGATACGTTTAAAAGCAAAATAAAGATATTTGTATATATTGCTTCATTATGACTTTTTTCTTTATCATAACTGATATTTTTCAGATGCACTTTGAAGACACAAAGGATGTTAAAGTAGTAACTAAGCATATTTCCTTTTGTTAGTTATATATTCCTCAGTATTTAGTTACTGACATTTTGAAAGATGACAAAAAGGATAAACCTCACTCACCAATACCATTACCCTATAAATACTATAACAGTGTTGGGAATTTTAATCTTACTCTGTGTGGAGATAATTTTTTTTCAATAAAGAAAAGGAATGTATTTTTTTTTAACAGCCATAGAGGCTGAGAAATCCATTGAGTGGCTCCATCTGGTGAGGGCCTTCTTGCTGGTAGGAAGTCTGCAGAGTCCCTAGGCGGCACAGGATATCTCATGACAAGGGGGCTGAGTGTGCTTGCTGCATGTAGATGCTTTTAAAACTGTACTTTAATCACTGCTTTCATACAATTTTACTTTATCTATTGTAAGCTTTTTCCCATGTTTACATAGTTTTTATAGACTGTTTTAGTGTCTGAATGATTATATCTCAGTTTTCTTTCTGTGTTACACTTGGGATTTTTCCCGATTTACGTTGTTTTAAATAAGACTGCGGTGATTATATCTTTGTATAATGCCTTTTCAATATTTGGTATTTGTTTATTTAGGATAGAGTTCCAGAAGTGATATCGCTAGAGTCTCTGCATTTTTATTGCTCTTAGTCCATATTGCTAAGTTGTCCCTCAAAAGATTGGACTAGTCATCAAACAGCAAAGTACGAAATATGTATCAGTTTTTCCACAATTGCTACCACTGAATTTTGTCATTTATGTTTTTTGTGTTAAGTAGCAAAAGTGATGTTTTAGTATTTAAAGTGGTTGAACAATTTTTCATCTTTGTTTTCTGCTTTTATGAAATGTCTGATTTTATGTATTGTGAGAGATTTTTGTCTTTTAACTTTTTATCTTGACATAATTTCAGGCATACAGAAAAGTTATAAGAATAGTACAAAGAATTCTTAAATATACCTTTTACCCTACTTCTCCATCTGTTAATATTTTTCTGTATTTTAGTCTTTACTTTTCTTTCTCTCTTCTGTCTCTAACTCTTGCTCTCCTGTCACTTGCTGTTTCTCTCTTTCCCCCCTCTCTATCTTATTCATGTTTCACCAGTGGTGTCAATAATGTCATTTACAGCAGAAGAAAATTCTGAGTTATGGGTTGCATTTAGTTGTTGTCTTTTCAGTCTCCTGTAACCTGGAATAGTTCTTTAATTTTGCTTCTTTTTCATAACCTTGATATTTGAAGAGTTGAAGCCATTCATTTTGTAGAACGTCTCTCAATTTGGGTGTGTTTGCTACATTCTCATGATGAAATTCACCTCATGCATATTTGTGAGGAATGCCATAGAAAAGATGCCTATGGAGATACATGCTGTCAATTTGCTCCCCTTCTGGTGATGTTGACATTGATCCCTTGGTTAACATAGTGTCTGCAAGGTTACTCCACCTTAAAGTTTTTTTTCCTTTTGTAAGTTACAAGTATATTGTGGGGAATATTTTGAGGCTCTGAGTATCTTTTTATTTCTCAAACTTTTACCCACTGGCTAGCCTCCATTGATAAGTCTTGCCTGAGTCATTTATTACTCTGATTGTTGCCAAAATGGTGATTTTCTGATTCATTGTTCTATGTTATTAGTTAGCTTTCTGCTATAAATAAGAACTTTCATTTTGCCACCCCCTGTTTTAAAAATATTGTTGTGGACTCCTGGATTCTTATTTTATTCATTGGGTACATTTCTTTACTGTCATTCATATTGATGCCCAAATTATCCTAAATTGGGCCAGTGGGAGCCCCTTCAAGCTGATGCTGTGTCCTTTTGATGTGACGTCATCATACGTTGAGTGTTTTCTTTCCTCTTTAGCACAAGAAGATATTCCAGGCGTATTTCAAACCTGGAGCCAGGCACTTCTATTTCTTTGAGTGGAGAATAGCATTTGGAAGTCAAGGTCTGTGTGCTGGGTATATTCATTGCTACCAGGGTGTCATTGCTTCTAGGCCCTTTCAACTGACAGTCAGGAAATAGATATATGCGTATGTATGTGAGTGAATACACATACATCCATATACATCCATGTCTATCTGTGTATTCTACCTATATTAAAAGGTACCATCAGTTCATACTGATACTTCCAATTTTAGTCCATCACCACAAAGTTTACCTTGTTCTCTTCCATATTGGCAAATCTGTGTTGATGACTATTCTGGTTCCTATTATCCACAGTGTGTTAACTTATTTGCCTAATGCTAGAATAATAACATAGGTTTTTTTGTTTGTTTGTTTTTTTGGGAGACAGGGTCTCACTCTGTTGCTCAGGTTAGAGTGCAGTAGTGCAGTCACAGCTCACTGCAACTTTGAACTCTTGGACTCGAGTGATCCTCCCACCACAGTCTCCTGTGTAGCTGGAACAATAGGTGTACACCACCATGCCTGGCTAATTTTAAAACTTTTTTGTGGAGACTGAATCTTGCTTTGTTGTCCAGGCTGGTCTCAAACTACTGGACTCAAGCCATCTTCCCACCTCAGCCACCAAAAATTCTGGGATTATAGGCATAAGTCACTGCACTTGGCCAACAGTGAAGTTTTGAAATTGCGGAGGAACCTATACTTTTACAAAAAGGAGGCCTGTAGGCCAGGCACAGTGGCTCACACCTGTAATCCCAGCATTTTGGGAAGCCAAGATGGGTGGATCGCTTGAGGTCAAGCATTTGAGACTAGTCTGGCCAGCATGGTGAAACCCAGTCTCTACTAAAAATACAAAAATTAGCCGAGTGTGGTGGCATGGGCCTGTAGTCCCAGCTACTCTGTAGGCTGAGGCAGAAGAATCACTTGAACCCATAAGGCAGAGGTTGTTTGCAGTGAGCCAAGATCATGCCACTGCACTCCAGCCTGGGCAACAGAGCGAGACTCCATCTCAAAAACCAAGCAAACAAAAAACACCCCTATTTAGTTCAGTATTTGCTTGAATCCTGGTCTTTAGCCTCAGGACACATAGTTCAGTACTGTGTTAAAAAATTACTTGGGCTGGGTTAATTCTTTTTCCTTTTTCAGTGTGGTTATGTTACTCATTTAATAGATGGTTCAGCTTATTTGTTTTTATTTTGAATTCTATTTTGCTTCCCCCCCCCATTCTTAATGATTTCTTTTTGTCTTATTTTGGGGTATATGAAATGTTAACATGGTTCCAAATGTCAGTGCTGTCTGAAAGTTTCTCCCCATACCTACCCATTACTTCTTTCCACCCATTTTAATTTACCTTCTTAAGGTAATCAATCTATTCTCTAGTTTACTGTCTTTTTTCCCCCACAAATGAGTAGATATTTTATTCTCTTATATAAAAGACAGCATATTATATAAGCTCTTTAACTTTGCTTAATTTAAGTATTTTTTATTTTTTCCAGCAAAGCTCCTTTTCTTTCAACTACACTGTAAATTACCACATACAGAACAGTACACACAGTAATGGAGTAAAACTCATTGTAACCATATAACTTATATGGGTTAAGAAATGGAACTTTGCTAGTATCCCAAAAACTCCTTTATGTTCTCTTCTAATTTTAATGCTTAACCAGCTTCATCCTCAGTTTATGATAATCATTTGTTGTCTTTACAGTTAAACTCTATAACCGTGCATCCCTAAAAATGTTTAGATTGCCTATTTTTTAAATTTAATATAATTGGTTCAGTGTGTGCACTTAATGTATGGCTTCTTTTTTATCTCTAAAGTTCATCAAAGTTGTTTCATTTGTAGCTATATTAATTTCTGTGTAGTATTATATTGCATAAATATATTACAACTTTATAATTCATTCTAATGGTGATAGACATTTGTATTGTTCATAGTTTTGGGCTGTTAAAATTGCTTTTTTGAATATTCTATTTTTATGAATTTCTAATATGAAATTTCAGGAATATTCTAATTTTATGAATATTATATTGCTTTTTGGTATATGTTATGGGCTGAAGTGTGTCCTCTTCTTCTCCAAACAAGGTATATAGAAATCTTAATCCCCAGTACCTTAGAATGTGACCTTATTTGAAAACAGGATTTGCAGATGTTATGGGTTAAGGTGAGGCCATACTGGAGTAGGATGGGCCTCTTATTCGATATGACTGGTGTCTTTATAAAAAGAAAGCTGTGTGAAGAGACAAAAGCAGAATGCCATGTGAAGATGGAGGATCCTAGTGATGCCACCTGGCCAGTCACCAGAAGCTAAGAGGCAAAGAAGGATTCCCCTACAGGTTTCACAGGAAGCATAGCCCATAGCCCTGCCACCCTTTGATTTTGGATTTTCAGCCTCCAGAATTTTGAGACAATACATTTGTTGTTTAAGCTAATTTTACTGTTTTATTCAAATTGCTGGCTCATAAACCTGCCTTTATTCAACTTTAGTTGATGATGTGAAAATACTTAACCAAAGTGGTTATACCAGTTTATACTCTAGCCAGCAGTGTATAAGGCTCCAGTTGCTCTACACCTTTGTTGACCCTTGATGTTGTCAAGGAAAAATTTAGTCATTGGGTGTTCGGTGGTATCTTTTTGGGGCTGCAATTTACATTTTCTGGTAATTGGTGATGAACATTTTTTCATATGATTTGACTCCTTGGATACTCATTTTTGTGTTTTCAGGTCTTTTGCACACTTTTTTGGTATTGGTTCATCAGTGTGAAGTACATTTATGTTGTACTTCTGCTTCACCATTATTCATCTCCAGAACTTTGTCACCATCCAAAATAGAAACTCTGTACCCATTAAACAGTAGCTCCACTTTCCCTTTTTCTTGTAGCTCCTGGCAACCACCATTCTACTTTCTGATATTGACTAGGTACCTCATATAAATGGAATCATACAGTATTTGTCCCTTGACTTAGTATGATATCTTCAGGTTTTATCTGTGTTGTAGCATGTGTCAGAATTTCCTTTTTAAGGCTGCGTAACATTTCAGTGTCTGTGTGTGTCTACAA